CGTTGAAGCCGCGAACATGACGAACATCTCCGCTCGGCTGCATGTCGACGAAGGCCTCCTTCGTCCCCATCAAATGGTGGGATCAGCCGCTGTCGAGAAGCACAACGGTCGGATTGGCTTGCACAGCAGCAGCGACCGCCTTGAAGTCTTTGCCAGCCTCCAGCGCCAGCGAGATCGTCGGCTCTACCACGCTGACCATCGAGCACGAAGCCTCCTCGCCACGAGCATTGCCGACAGAGGAGTCTGCATCCTTCGTCGAAGACGTCTTCGACGGCTGCTTCTCCTTGCTCGGCTGGTTGTCCCGACGACGACGGCCACCTTCTCCCTTTCTGCGGTTGGAGTCCCGGTCGTCGTCAGACTCGTCTCGGTCGGGGCAGTCGTACGAGAGGTGGTCGGGAGCATCGCAGATGTAGCAGCGACGGCTTTCTCGACGCGAGCCACTGCTGCCGCGATCTCCACCTTTCGCCGACTTCCCGCGGTCGGCGTCCTCCGTCGATTTCGCGTTCGATGACTTCCAGCCACCACCTCCGCCAGTCTTCCCACGCTGCCCCTGTTGGCGTCCCTGCTTCGCCGGGGCGACGTAGTTGGCCTGCGGAAGCAATTCTGCAGGTCGCTCAGACTCCTGCATGAACTCGTCCTGGATGATGTGGCTCGATAGCGAATCCTCGTTCAGAGTCTCGCGCGTGCCGGGGATCGTCAACATTTGACGCATCAAATTGTAGCCCGAGGGGAGGCCACTGATGACATGAGTGACGTACGACGCCACCGAGTAGTCCACGCCGGCCATCCGCAGATCGGCCAAGACTCGGCGCGCTCAATTGCAGTACTCGGTCGCCGATTCCTCCTCCCCCATCCGAATGTTGGTCAACTTCTTCTCTAGTTGACTGATGTAGAGGTCGTCGGTCGCTTTGTAGGTGCGCATGATGTACTGCCATGCTTGGTAGCCAGCATCCACCCGTTGTCTGCACGACGTCAATGCGACCTGCACCAGAGACGAACAACACCTCGAAATGACCATGAAGGTTAGTAGATGAGCAGCGCGAAATTCCGCACAGAGTTCAGAGTCGTCTGCGTCCGGCGTCCCAACATTGCTGTTGACGAACTTCTTCAATCCGGCGATCTCCAGCTGAGGCTCGATGGATTCAATCCACGTGATCAAGTCGTGTCGACCTTCGAGCGGCCTCGGCACAGCGATCTTGTCCGGCGAGAATTTAAAATATCCGTACGCCGGCGCGATGCCTCCGTCTCGACCAGCCGACACATGAGTCGCCGAGGTCGGCCTGACTCCACTCCGCAGAGTACCGACGTTGCCGTTCGAGCTGCCTCCGGTCGCAGATGATCGCAGCACTTGCGCCTGCACTCCGCCAACGCCGACGTCGGCGGGCCAAATCACTCCGCGAACCCTCGTGCTTCCACCGCCGACAACATTGCTGCCATCACCTTCGTTGTGCACCGGTCGGGGAGAGGCGGACGCACCGTCCGCTTCTGCACGGGGAGGGGGATGCTCACGCGCCCACTGCGCACGAGTTCCAAGGAGCAAAATCTCCAAGTCCGCCTCGCCGTACCCGCCAGCCTCGTGGCGTGCCCGAACACCAGATTCTCTTGCCTGCAGGGTATCTTCTACACCTGCTTCGACCACGGGGTCGACCATAGCGAATAAGACGGCTGCCGGCCTAACAACAACTTAGGTAATGAACGCAGAAGTCGGCTATCTGAAGGTTCTAACGCGGGGCCGTCCACGCTCACCACACCATGCGGAGAGTCACTACACAACGGGAGTGGACTACGGTAGAAGGCACGGAGTTGTGCGAGTGATCGTAGCTTTGCACTAGCGTTCTTACTGCTTGCTGTGTTCACAGAGAAAGTTTGCAAGAGTTTCCACTAAGGAATTGAAAAGAACAACTTGCAATGAAAAGTTGGAAGTACAATTGAGGCATGCAGAATGAAAAGACTAGAATGACATTCAACACCTAGCAAGGGCGAATTCTGCCAGCGCAGCAGAAGAGCGGCTTGCCAACGTTGCAGCAGAGTGATCTGCCAACGTTGCACTGCACGCGGTCTGCCAGCACTGCAGTCGCAGGTGACTATCTGCAGTCGCAGGTAACTATCTGCAGTCGCAGGTTGTCTATCTGCGCAGATGTGCGCACCTACCAAGTAGGTGCAGGTTGGCGGTTTCACCGTCAGGCACATTGCGCAGGTGCCAGGTAGAAAACGTGTCGTCGGTTTCGCCAGGTGCGCACCGTCGAGCACGTTCTGCCGTTCCGCAGGTAGAACTGCGCCAAAATCTCCTGGGCGAAAGTTCGCACGCCTCAGCAGAGTTTCGCACAACTCTGCAACTTCGGTCGAAGGACTTGCCATCGCTCGGTCGAACGAAGTTCGCCGAGCAGAACTTCATTGACCAGAACTCTTCGACCAGAGTTCCTCGACCCGAACTCTTCGACCAGAGTTCCTCGACGAAAGCTCGTCGCGCAGAGATCGCTCCACTGCAACTTCCGTCGAAATGCAGAAGCCCATTTCGTCGACCAATCCGTCGCGAACTTCTCGTCGACGGCGAGATCGGCTGCGCCCAAGCGAGGGCGGGGCCTTTGTCTTCGACACACCCAACCTGCGACTACAACTTTGGGGTCGCACGCGACAAACGAATCGATGCGACTAGGATCGAGGGCGATCGACCGTGCCTGTCACCCATGGCTCCAGGCCCCACACCGCGCCCTTCAATCTCACAATCAATTTGCCTATGTGATAAGAGCGTGTCCGAGGCAAAGCGTCGAATGGATGTCGCTGGATGTCGGTAAATGTCAACCCTCGGATCAAGAGTTCCAACCGTCAGGATTTGCCGACATCGGATGTCAACGGATGTCACGTTCACTTCGGACCCGCTATAAATGGAGCAGGACACGTACGTGTGACAGAATCATGGGCACAGTTTTAGGGCGTGCCCCCTCCTTCGATCGATCGTGAGATCGACGTGAAAAACTGATCGGGCACACCGATCGCAGGATTGGGGCGGGATTGGTAGGAGGTGACAGTCGGGGATCGATCTCGAGCCCAGGGTGTCAGGATCGAGAATTCAAGGGGGGGAAACTCTCGATCCTACAAAAGCTGAGATCGGTGTGGCCACAAAAGGCACATCGATCGTTATCAGTGGAGGTGACAAGATCGTTGGGCCTCAGGTACTGTACATTCGCTAGTCATCTCGAAATGTGGTAACCTTGTCAATTGCGACACTGTACCTGTCCCTCGATCGATCGAGGGCATGATCGACCGAGGGAGGGGACGCGCCCTTACTGTACGTTCGTCAACATTGGCAAAAATTGGTTACCTAGTTGATTACAACGCTACAGTGTACACCTATCGCGCATAACCGATCTTCCAGGCGATCGATCTGCTTCAGGTGACGCGTCCTCAGTGTGGTGGCTGGGGCGGCGGCATTGATGCAGTTGCTCATATAGTCAACTATTGTGAATTTTGTGAGGAAATTCACGTCCATATGAAACATTCTGGTCTGGAGCTGTACTGTCAGATCCTTCCCCATTCCCTCTCCCCCAAATCACCGACAACCCTCGGGAGGTAAGTTTGCCGCTGTCGTCAACCAACCCTCCAAAGAAACCCCTTACATTTTCGATTTTCTCGTACGGTTTGGACAATTACCACTCTGAAACATATTGAAACCCACTAGAACAAAGTGTCTAATAGATAAACCACTTTCAACCGTTCAGACAGTACGGTTCCTAGATTCGTATTTAACATTTTTTTTAATAGAAAAAAATCGAAAATGTAACACGCCCTAAATTCGTATTTCACGCCGGTTGAATTTGAGTACACTGACACACCTCTCCTTTGCGGGTTACCACTTGTCGAAGAACAGACAATGCGTTTACAGTATCTAGTTGAGAACCGACAATCCACGGTGATGGTTTGTTTGTTCGTGATGGACATGGCGGTGGTGGGATGGGATATGCTGCCCGTGTACACATGTTGCTCAACTGCTGTGCGCGAAATTGCCCTGCACGCGCCGGAAAACTCTGCACGCGTGTACTGTATTTGGGGCCAGCCAGTTGCACCCACATTATAGACCCCCCTGTGCCACTTGTGCAAGTGGTCACCAAACGATGAAAGCATCACATGCGAAGGAGTCAAAGTTAGTGACCCTCGAAATCTTTGTCTTTAGGCCAAAACCAGGAATCGCGAAAAATGTGGTCGAAACGAAAATGACGTCGCGCACTTGTTCGCTCGTGACTGTACGCCACGTTGGTGCGGCTCAACTTACGCCAAACGCACAAGGCGCACTCATCTTTGCCACGTGTAGGTTGCAATGGAAACAAAATATACACTTATTGGTTGACGAGTTGAACACATGACACACGGCACCAAACACATTTAGGGCAACATTCACTCCCCAACAAATGGATACAGACACGCCGCGGTGCAACATTCTTAGGAACAGTGACAAACCGTTTTTTGTCTTGTTCCGCTGTGGTCGTCAATTGGCTAGTGAGAGAGTAGGTTGTGTTGCGATGAAAAGAAAAAGAAACAACTGAGGCGAATGTCGCGATCCTCAAAAGGAAAGGGGGGGCGGGGGAAGGGGTGGGGGGGAAGGAAAGGGGGGAACAAACACGACTACGGGAAACCGGACCCCATCAATACGTCCATTTCCCGATACAGGAAGGCCTGCAGCGAACTATTGCATCCTACCCGCACCTGCAGCGTAGCACCTACGAGAAGGAGAAGGCAGCGGAGGCAGCAGCACATATGTTCTCATATGCTCATTGCAAAACTAAAAACCTTATGTTTCAACAAAGTGGAGTAAGATAACTACTTATGAGGTTTATTTTTTCTTATATTTGCAAGACTAGTATTTTGAAAGACTAGTAAATTTCATAAACTGTGTAAATCTGCAAGCCAAATGGCTGGCATTTTGAAAGATTTTATAAGCAAAGGATAGATAGCAGGCAAACAACATGGGAACATCCAAGAGCCGATTTTCATACTCCTATCCACTATTGGTGCAGCTGTCCACCTACAGGAAGGAGGGAGGGGAAGGGGGGAGGGAGGGGGGGGGGGGGGGGGTGAGGGAAGGGAATGACACGATGCGTTTTAGGGAAGAATGCTTGATAGGGAAATTGAAGGGAGGGTGATGGGGAAGCAGGATGGAAACTGAGGTAGCGAAGCCGGTGCTGTGGGCTGGGATGGACGAGGGGACGTAGTGGAAAGGGATGGGACGGGAGTGGGGAAAGGGGTGGGACAGGAGAGGGGGGAAAGGGATGCCGAGAGAAGGTTGAATGATGGGACAGGATAGTAGGAAAGGGAAGGGATGTGAGAGAGGGGAAGGAAGGGTGGGGAGGGAAGGACAGGGGGAAAGGGAGAGGAGGACAGGAGAAAAGGGAGAGAAGGATAGGGGGAATGAGAGAGAAGGACAGGGGGAAAGGAAGAGAAGGATAGGGGGAAAGAAAGAGAAGGACAGGAGAAAAGGGAGAGAATGATAGGGGGAATGAGAGAAGGACAGGGGGAACTGCAGAGAAGGACAGGGGGAAAGCCGAGAGAAGGACAGGGAGAAAAAATGAGAAGGATAGGGGGAAAGAGAGAGTGGGGCAGGGGGAAAGGAAGAGTAGGATAGGGGGAAAGAGAGAGGAGGACAGGGGGAAAGGGAGAGAAGGATAGGGGCAAGGGAGAGAATCAGCAGTGGGGTGGCGGATGAAAGGGAAGTGGAGAGATGGGACTGGCGGAAAGGGAAGGCACGGGAGTGGGGAAGGGGAGGGAGAATTGGGAGGATCGGCGAGAGAGACTGGAGGGAGCGAGCCGCTTGCTACCGTTGCGCCTTTGATGCATGCAGCCATTGTGCCCGTCGTTGCTTCCCGTAGTCGCCTTAGCCATGCAACCCGGGCAGTGTGAAAGGGGGAGGATGGAGCAGTGGGAAAGGGGGAGGGATGGAAAAGGGGGAGGGAAGTGGGGTAATCGGAGGGCCAGTAGAAGGGGGAAAGGAAGAGATGGTGGGGGAAGGGGATGGACGGGTGGCGAGGAAATGGACAGGGTGGATAAAATTCCTTGTGAGGGTGGGGGAGTGGGAGAGGGAAGGGACAGGGAGATGAGGGAAGAAAGGGCGTAACGGGGACGGGAATGAAGGGAAGGAGGGAAGGCTGGAGAAGGGGCAGGCCGACGGACGGGGACGGGGCGGGGGCTGGTCCATGATGCTTCTTGCTCCCGTTTCGTCGGCCACTTGCCACCGCTCGCCACCGTCGAACCGATGCGTCGCCCCGCTGCTCGCAACAGTCTCCCCGCAGCTCGCTATCGTCGCCTCGCTGCTCGCTATCGTCGCCTCGCTGCTCGCTATCGTCGCCTCGCTGCTTGCTATCGTCGCCTCGCTGCTCGCCATCGTCGCCTCGCTGCTCGCTATCGTCGCCTCGCCGCTCGCTATCGTCGCCCCGCTGCTAGCTACCGTCGCCCCGCTGCTCGCTACTGTCATTATCGCGGCTCGCTATCGTCGCCCCGCTTCTCGCGACCGTCGCACCCATTCCTGCCTGTCGCTACCTTCGCGCCTTTGCTATCGCAGATACGTGAGGAATGGAGGGACGGGAGAGGGAAAACAAAAGGACGGCAGCGGAGGAAAACGAGAGCAATGCGCTTCGTACAAAAAAAAAAAGGTGTTTACGAGGTACGCAATAGCACAGATTTTCAAGCGCACATCAAGAGAAGATGAAGCGCGATTAATCTGAGCCAAATGGCTTTGCGGAGCTTTAGAAACGCACTTCAAATAAGTAGGGACCTAGTTCAAGCATGAGGCTTTGAGTTGTTTTGAGTTCAAGTTTGAATTTTCAAATTTGCTCCCTGCGCTCCCCCTCATCTCGTTGTGCGGAGCTTTTCCCAAAGCCCTCCCCCGCTTTCCCCCAACACATCATACTGCGAAGCACTTTTCCGCACGCCCTTCCCCCGCTGGCAGAAACCTCTGCCTGCTCGCTTTCCTGTGTATACTGGGTTACGCGGCTTTCAAGCTATAATACTTTGAACTGGAGCACCGATATCTGCACCGCGGCTTTAATGATCCCTAATCATTTAACCCACGTCACCCCGTGTGTTATGAGTTTTACTAGACAGCGTGCGCGGAAGACTTCTATAAAGAGAATGAATTACAGAATGTCGAGAATGATAAAGAGGCATGCATTTATAGGGTCGAAACCGTGGTAGGCGAGGACCTCGGGATGTGGATGGGTTGGAAGTGTCGCGATTGGTGCGGGGCGACTCGGCATTGGTTCGGTGCGGAAGTGTAGGCCGAGCCACCTGACGCGAAGTGCTCGGGCTGTACCCGTTAAGACAAGGCTACGGTAAGGAATTGGTAAATTCCTTACACTCTCCCACCTTCTAGATAAGGTCCCCTTATCCGTAGACGAGTCGTGCAGTAGCGTGAAAACTGCAGATCTCGGTCGAAACTGATCTGACGGTGCAGAAGCACGTTGACTTTCGAGTTGACGCGTGGCTGAGCGCGTCAAAGATTTGGAATGTCAGCCGTTGATACTGCCGATGTCGATCGGGCGGTCGAAGGCGAAGGTCGATTTGAAAATCTGTCGATGAATGAAGGCCGTCAATGTGACGGATCTGTGTCGGACGGTCGAGGGGAACGCAATAGTGGCGGGAATTATGATGCGTTGTCAGAATCCGATGAATCAGGATCCGTCGATGTCGATGGTTTAATTACGAGCGTCCGTCGTGCTGGATGTGTCAGACGAGATGTCAGAAAAAACTGACAAATACAGTGCGAGAGCACTTTCTCTCCCCCCTTTTGAAGATAGGGCTGCCCACCAAAAGTGTACAGCCACGCGGGTAGAGTCTTCAACTTTCCTGCATGTCAGGGTTAGTCAAGACTACCAAGTGTAATGAACTCCCCGCTGAATGTTAGCAGCTGCCTGTTGAAAGTGGTAGTCGGTGGCGAAATATCGCTGATGTGGCGCGTAAACAACGCCCAGGGTAGACCGTGTTGATGTCCCAAGAAATTATCGTTTTGCGCCGGGACACGGGTGCGATCCTTCAAAATATATTTTTATGAAGACAACTTTCTTCTTGTCTTGTAGTCGCGACTGCTGCTGCCGTTTCTCCAGGTGGCAGCTGCTGCAATCCCGAAAATTGCTGCTGTTGTCGTGTTGTTGTGGCAGAAATCCTCGCTGTAGATTCTCCAGCTGTCAGCGACCCCAGCAGTCTTGTCCAGACTCGCCGAGGCTTTTGTCGCTATTCTCCGAAAAGTACCGGGCAGAGGCGAAAAACAGCTGCTGCTCTTCCCCCTGACCTCGCAAATATTTGTTTCAAAGTTGAACTCGAACTGTCGATGACGCCAGCTACCTCGGCGATGTTGTCGTGACTCGCCGAAAACTTCGGGGCAGAGGCGAAAAAGCTGTCCTTCCTCCCCCCCACCTGTTGCCATAAATTTTACCGGTGTTGCGGCTGGTACCCCCGAACGGAGTTGGAATTAACTGCCAATCGTGTTCCCGTCGGTTTTGCGCGCTTAACCAAGCGCCTCTGCATCCCCGCCGTTTCGAACGGAACTGCCGACCGTTGCCGCCGAACTCCGCTAAGACCCAGCTCCCAGTACTGCTGCTGAAACCCGTAAGTGTCGGTGCCGAAAATCCTCGTACGCTTGGTCAGTTGCAGGTTGTCCCCTTGAAGAACCGGTGTATCTAGCGTGCCCACCCGTCGCCACTCTCATCGCCTGTGGTTAACCACACTAGCAACCCACCAAAAAGGAGGCGCTTTTCCATGTGGAACCCAGAACTGTGGGTCTACCGGGACCGAATTTCACGGAACCTAGCCGCATCAACGCCGCAGATCTCGCTGTAGGATTTCCCCAGATGGCCACGAAGTATACCGTAAAACTCTCAAACAGCTGGCGAGCAGACGTTCACCCGTCGCCCACCGTCGAAATTGCACCCGAAAATCATGGTTGCGGAATCAAGCCCCGAAGTATTCTCTGCCGTGTAGCCCCGACGTTTCCGCCATTAACCCTGGTACTCCGACGTTCACCCATCTTCGTACCCGTCGAAATTACTTAGCAAATCCCAGGCATCCTTGGCAATACACCCCTCGCCGCGCCTCCATGTAACAATATCAAACCCTTTCGGGGGTCTACCGAATAGACTCCGAAATTCGCGGTGGAGTGGTGTATGGGCTCAGCCTATCACTCAAGTTGCTTGAAGCGGCACCCACAACTTTCCCTCCTTTTTTTTGCTTTCACCCCCCGACAATTTCGCTTGCCGCCGTTCACCCAGCGACCGCTTTTGTCGGATGAGGTATTCTCCATGTTGACCCGCGATTTTTCTGGCGTTCGATGAAGGCGCGAACGCAATCGTAGTCGGAGCGAGTTTATCAGATCAAACTCTCAGCCGGCCGCTTCGCTGCCCACCGTGCCTATCGCATTTAAAAACTCCGCAACTTCGGGAACTCCGTCTTCGCTGCTACACCTTCGTCGGGTAGACCGTCGAATCAGGAGAAACACCGCCAGCTGCCACAACTTCTTCAACTCCGATATTTTCGGCAGGGTAATTGTCGCCGATGGTCCGTTTTTGTCGGGGCCGAAACAGTGTCGCTTGAAGATTTTCTTGAACGCCCAGCTGTCGAACCAGCGCAATACCCGCGCCTTTCTAACCAGCACAGGGCTAAAACACAGGGCCCCACCTTTTTCGTCCAGGGCCAACAGGACTTACGAATTGCCTTCGAGGCCTTCTGGTGTGAGGTATGTGAGCCGTTCGGAAACCTTGGCCGGTAGTGGATCCCATCATGGCTACCGCCGCTTAGCCGAAACTTAGGCATCAGCTTGAGCGTTTCCCTGTAGGTCGTTTTCTCGCCTCCTGAAGCCCGAAATCCGTTTCTCTCGCCAGACCCGCTTTTCCCGCAACTCCGTATATTGTAGCCGGTAGAACCCCCGAAAATCGTGGGTCTAGACGCTGCGCGAAACCGTTGTCCCGTCGGTGTACTGCCCTGTCTGCGGCGCAACTTCCCTTGATCAGGGGGAACCTGTGTCGCCTGAAGTACAGTGTCGGCTGCTGCTGTTGCTCCGATTTTTTCGCCGATCTCGATGCAGGCACAGAAGTGACCCTAACGCGAACAGTCTAGTCGTAGGCGGCCTTTTCCGAACTTTTCGGTGGTCTGAAAATAACTTCCGTCCCACACTGTGCCGCTCCTGCCGAAAAACGCCCACGACGCACCCTCCTGCAGCAACGCCAGCTGCACCCGGGTGGGACGACGATAGACCCCCGCTTTCTTCGGGCAGTCGTCACGCCGCCTTTCCTCGCCGTCGGTTTTTCTGACGCAAATCACACATTGCGCCTGGCTACTCGCACAGCAGTCGCTTTCCACGTGCTGCTACCCGAAATCTTCGCGCACAGTGACGACGCGCCACTTGCCGAAGACCTCCAGCGGACTCATGTGCAACGTGACGACGACACTCGAGGTCACTTGCTGCATGCAGCCCACTCCGAAATTGTCGCGCCCAGTTGTCGGCCACGTGCCGACGCAACTCGCACGACGTCTTGCTTCCGACATCTTCGGACGTGCACTGACGGAGATCCTGTCGACGTTAGCTGCCACACAAATTAACTCCGAAAATGCCGAAACGTAAACTGTTAACTCACGCATTAATTGCGACGACAGCAAAAGCTGTCCGCTACCCGGGGGGGGGGAGGCCACGGTACATCTCGACCGTCGAGGGCAAGGATCCGTCGGTGCCACAGGAGCGCCTTGAAATTCATGGCCGCTAGGAGCAACTACCCGTTCTCCTGGCCGGCTCTTGCGCTGCTCCTGTCACCACGACATCCTTCCCTGTCCCCCCCCCGAGGGGTAATACACTCTAAAAAACGGGTGTCCTTGGAAAGTAGCTCTGATACCAAGTGTTATGAGTTTTACTAGACAGAGTGCGCGGAAGACTTCTATAAAAAGAATGAATTACAGAATGTCGAGAATGATAAAGAGGCATGCATTTATAGGGTCGAAACCGTGGTAGGCGAGGACCTCGGGACGTGGATGGGTTGGAAGTGTCGCGATTGGTGCGGGGCGACTCGGCATTGGTTCGGTGCGGAAGTGTAGGCCGAGCCACCTGACGCGAAGTGCTCGGGCTGTACCCGTTAAGGCAAGGCTACGGTAAGGAATTGGTAAATTCCTTACACCGTGTGGCCCCTCGTAACCCATGTCTGTTACACGCACCTTTGTGGCCGCATACACTCCATGAATGTTGGGTAAGCCCAGTTTACTAGTTTCATCACAAATTCGTAAGCGCCAATCGAGTGCCACTATGTGAGGATAAAATGACACTCACTCGAACTAGTAACTCATAGTCTCTTCATCCTCGTCACTCACCATGCCGCGCCTTCTCCGCCGCTCCCCGCTACCCGTTCACATCAAGAGGGCAATATGCGAGCATCATATTACCCACCCGCTATTGTTCCATGTCGACCGGGCGCGCTGGTGTTGTTCCCGATTCGGTATTCGTCCCGACCGTTCCACCATTGGTCGCGTTCTCAAGGGAGCGGAACAGTGGAAAGCCTCACCTTCGTCTAACAATACCGTCCGCGTGCGCGGCGGTGCTCATCCGGACCTCGAGCACGCCATGGTCCGCTGGATTTCGAACGCCGGACCTGCGGGGATCCCGCCCACCTTGTCGACTATCCGCGACCACGTGGCGGTGATTGCACGCGACATGGGCAAGCCACCCTCTTTCCGCTGCTCTGTCGGGTGGGTTCGCTGTGCTATGCGGCGGAATGGCATCCGCGGCGAGGCCGCCGATCAGGACATGGCGGTGGTGCGGACTTGCCGGGAGAAGCTGCCTCAGCTTCTCATGTACCTTTCCGTTTCGCCGTGCGATGTTTATAATTATGATGAGACGTCGCTGTGGATTTCGGTCCTTCCGCGGAAAGGGGAGTGACGCCGACGAGCGTCGCTAGCCACGGAAAGGGGAGTGACGCCGACGACCGTCGCTAGCCACGGAAAGGCGGCTGCGACGATCCGCGATGGCCTCGCATCGCACGACCCATTTCGTTCCAAGCTGTTTTGAACGCAACGCGGTGGTTGAGGTCGGTTTTCGGGTCGACTCGAAGCCAAGCTCCGCTCCATGCGGCGTTGGTTAGATCTACACCAACTCACGCCGCCAAACTAGTAGTCACCCATCTCGTCCGTCTCGTGTTACTTTCGTTGTGTGCAGTTTAACATCCTTTGCTTCACTGCCTTTTCCCCTTGCGACCTCTCTCCCGCCGGCCATGCGAGCAGCAGCAGATGCCGTCCAGCGAGCAACAGCAGATGCCATTTAGCGAGCAACAGCTGATTCCCGCAGCGCGAGCAACAGCGGCAAAACGGCGCGTTTCCGCGCTGCAGGCGTGGCAAGCGTATCGTCTCAGCCGCCGGCGAACGGCTCGTCTCCTCGCCCCGTACTCAGGCAACTAGGTGAGAGAGGTTTGGCACAGCCAGGTGAGAGGTTTGGCACAGCCAGGTGAGAGGTTTGGCACAGCCAGGTGAGAGGTTTGGCACAGCCAGGTGAGAGGTTTGGCACAGCCAGGTGAGAGGTTTGGCACAGCCATGTGAGAGGTTTGGCACAGCCAGGTGAGAGGTTTGGCACAGCCAGGTGAGAGGTTTGGCACAGCCAGGTGAGAGGTTTGGCACAGCCAGGTGAGAGGCTCGCTACTGCCAGGTGAGAGGCTCGCTACTGCCAGGTGAGAGGCTCGGCACAGCCAGGTGAGAGGCTCGGCACAGCCAGGTGAGAGGCTTGGCATAGCCAGGTGAGAGGCTCGGCACAGCCCGGTGAGAGGCTTGGCACGGCCAGGTGAGAGGCTCGGCACGGCCAGGTGAGAGGCTCGGCACGGCCAGGTGAGAGGCTCGGCACGGCCAGGTGAGAGGCTCGGCACGGCAGGTGAGAGGCTCGGCACGGCCAGGTGAGAGGCTCGGCACGGCCAGGTGACAGGCTCGGCACGGCCAGGTGAGAGGCTCGGCACGGCCAGGTGAGAGGCTCGGCACGGCCAGGTGAGAGGCTCGGCACAGCGAGATGAGAGGCTCGGCACAGCGAGGTTAGAGGCTCGGCACAGCCAGGTGAGGGTCTGCACAGAGAGGTGAGGCCGGTCGTTGCTTGTGGTGTTGGCTCTCTCCCATCACCTCCACTGCTCCCCCTCCTCCCTCTCCTCTCCCCTTGCGCAGGTGCCACTTTCTCATGTGTCAGTTGCGACGAGAAAAAGAGAGTATAATAATAGAGATTGATAGGATGTGTTCATATGTATGCTTGTACAGTAATCAACTATAAGCCAGTGTAGCCAGGCCTGGGGAGGCTGGTTGGTTCGGGCTAGGCCCGGGGGGTTGGTTGGGGCCACCCCTGGGGGTGTAAGAGGATTGCGTTTTGGGGCTGAAGAGCGGTTCGGGCCAGAGCCAGAGAGGTCCGGCCAGGCCCATGGAGGCCTTTCCAGGGGCAATTTGGCTGGACTTGTCCGAACCAGCTGGTTTGGGCCGGGTTCGGTTCGGGCAGACCCGGAGCGATCGGGGCAGACGCGGAAAGGTTGGGGCAGACTCGTAGCGCTCTGGGTGGAGCTGTTGAGGCCCGCGAGGTGAGGCCCCTCGCGCTTGCTCCCATTGTTGCCCCGCTCTTTTGACAAGGAAACAGAGATGGATAGAGAGAAACATCAGAAACAGAGACAGATGGAGAGAAGAATCAGAAACATGGAGAGGAAGGGAGAGAAACAGAGACAGGAACAGAGAGCTGCTCCCTTCTTCTCACCTCTGCTCCCCTCCACTCACCTCTGCTCCCCTCCACTCACCTCTGCCGCCTGGTTACTGTTCCTGCCGCCCGGTTACTGTTCCTGCCGCCCGGTTACTGTTCCTGCCGCCCGGTTACTGCTCCAGCCGCCCGGTTACTGCTCCTGCTGCCCGGTTACTGTTCCAGCCGTCTTGTCACAGAAAGAGAAACAGGAACAGGAACAGTAACAGAAGAACGCCAAGGTAACAAAAATGTAGGAACATCTCTTGCATGTTGCTTTGTGGCCATGCCATGCCAGGGATAGGGGGGGACCATGCCATGCCAGGGATAGGGGGGGGCATGCCATGCCAGGGATAGGGGGTGCGGGTTGGGGGGCAGTGAGGGGCTGTGAGGAGGATTGGGGGGTAGGGGGGCCTTAGGGGGGCCTTGGGGGGGCCGTGGGGGGGTTTTTCCAAGGATTATGTTTCCAAGGCCCATTGTGATTGTTGTAACCTCTCTTGTATTGTACGCTGTACATTGAGTGATTGTATTCAAAATAACCTTTCATCTTGCATTTCTTGTTGCCGCTTCGTTTCAATTCTTGCCTTTACTCGTTCCTTTGCCCCGCCTATTCCTTACATTCCTCCATCCGTTCGATTGTTTCCCCCACAGACCGCATCGTGGAGCTTCGGATTTGCCCTGACGAAGCCACAACCCCGCGTCGCTCCAGCAGCAGCGGAAGCTTCGGCGCTGCTTCCGGCGGCTCCCCGTCCCGCGGAGGTGGAAGCCCCGTTTCCCCGACCGCCGCCGCCGCTGCCGTAGCCGCCGCGTCTGCCGCCGGGAATCTAGGAAAGCGATGTTCTTCTATCGGAGGGGGAGCGGGGGGGATGGAGCGGGAGGGGGGCGGAAGCGATTGCGCGGATCTGATGGACCTCTCGGGGGAAGGAGGCGAGGGGGAGGCGGAGGGGGAGGGGAGCGGGGGTGCGGGGGATGGGGAGGGGGAAGGGGAGGGAAGGCGAGACGTGGAGGGGCAAGTGCGAAGGTACTCCTTTGATGGCCGAGGGGGAGGGAGAGGCGCGAGCGGCGAGTTGTCGTTTCTTGCTGCTGTGAATAATCACTCCCAAGGTGCGTTTGATGGCGTAGACACTAAAGGTGTGCCTGTTGTAGGTTGTAGAATTGTTGAATTTAGAGAAACTAGACATTTCATCCTGCTGTTGCCGTTTTGTATGATTTCTTACAGCCCCCCTTGATGATGCTTTTGCTCGCCTTTACACGTTTTTTCTACTCAAACCCTGTTTGCCACTGTAACGCTTCTTTTCCCCCGATTCCTCGTACGTTCCTGTGCCTCCCCCCACCCGCCCTCCGCCTTTATACCTGTTGCCTGCTCCTTCCACCCCTCCTTTGCCTGCTCCAACACCCCCACCGCCTCCCTCCTCTTACCGCTCCCGACCTTCCCTTACGCGTTTTCCAGCCGTACCAGGTTTGGGACCGGACCAAGCGGCAGCTCTGACAAGAGGCTCGGCAGCAGGAGGAGCTAGCCTCGGCAGCCGCCCTCACAGCCCCTTCACCACCACCAGCGGTGCTACTGGTGGTGCCACTGCTGCTGCTCCTGCTGCTTCCGCCGCTGCTTCTGCAACTGCTGCTGCTGCTGGCGCTTCTGCTGCAGCCGGTGCTCCTGCTACTGTTACTGCTGCAGCTGCAGCTGTTGCCGGTGTTGGTGCTGGTACGGGTGCTGTTGGCAGTGCTGCTATTGCTGCTGCAGGGGTTGCTGGGGGGGTTGGAGGAGCAACAACCAGAGCGCATCGATTCGGCAATCTCGGAGCGACAAGGCTTGCGCCTTTCGAGTCCAGCCAAAGGCAAATTGGAGGGGCGGCGATGGGGACAGGGACGTGTAGTGGGTGCGGCTTGGGGGGCGGTGGCAGCATCAGTGCTCACCTGGGCGGCAGTAGCGGGAATCTGGGCGGCAGCGGGGGTGCAAATCTGGGCGGAGGGGGGGGTGGCGGTGTGACGATAGGGAGTTGTGGTGGGCACAGAGTGGTGAATCTGCATTTGTCCTCGGTGGTGCTGGCAGCGAAGTCTGCCTTCTTCCGCACGCTCTTCACGTGTGGCTTTAAGGAGACGTGCCAGAACAACCCTGTGGTCCTCAACGTCTCGCCAGAAGGTAAAGTATGCGACCCGCATTCCACCAGACACTTGCAACAGGCAGGCGCTGTGTGCCAAGCCAGCATGCAGTGCACTCGGCCTTCTTCCGCGCGCTTTTCCCCGCCACAAGCTAAGGTGCTGGGAAACAGGAAAGTATCCACAAGCCTTTTTTGTCAAGCCTGCCTGCCTTTCACTCTAACCTTGTGTCGCACCCCAACCCCCAATCCCCTCCCCCCATTTCTCCTTCCCCCGCAGAGGAGGGCCCAGTAATCGACCTGCTGCGCTTCATCTACACGGACGACATGCAGGAGGGCAGCAGCAATTCAGAGGACATAATCACGATGTTCCTTCCACTCACTCCCTTGCACCTCTTCCCACTCCCGCTCTCCCTTGCACCTCTTCCCACTCCCGCTCTCCCTTGCACCTCTTCCCACTCCCGCTCTCCCTTGCACCTCTTCCCACTCCCGCTCTCCCTTGTCATCGTCAGAGGAAGGCCCAGTGATCGACCTACTCCGCTTCATCTACACGGGGGACATGGCGGAGGGCAGCAGCGACCCGGGGGACATCATCAAGATGTACCTCGTGGCCGACAAGTTCGGCGTCGCCTCGTGCATGAAGATCTGCCTCGAGCGCCTCGTCAACCTCCCCATGACCGTCCCCACCGCCTGCCTCTACCTCTCGCTCCCCGACTCCATGCACTCGCACCGGGGGGTCGCGCAGCTGCTGGAAGCTTCTCGGGGGTTTCTGGTGGCGCATTTCAGGGATCTGGAGCGGGTGCACAAGGGGGAGGAGTTTCTTGAGCTGCCGCTGGTGGGCGTGCAGACGCTGCTGGCCAGTGATGAGCTGAATGTGAGGGACGAGCTCACGGCGTTCCATGCCATGGTGGAGTGGCTGCGGCACCACCACGATGACCTGGATGACAGGAAGTGAGTGGTCTTGTCTTTCTCATTCCCCCCTCCTCGTTTCCTCCTCATCCCCTCCTTCCCCCTTCATTTCCCCCTTCGCCCCCTCTCACGCACACACATGCATGCGCGCACACACACGCCGTTTCTTGCTGCAAGCGAGGGACGAGCTCACGGCGTTCCATGCCATGGTGGAGTGGCTGCGGCACCACCACGACGACAATTCGGATGACAGGAAGTGAGTGTGCTCTGGTTGTTAGTCACGACCTGCATGACAGAAAGTGAGAGCCTCGAGGTGCAGAGTGCTGCACTCATGTCCTCACCATCATGCCTCAATCAATCCTCTTGTTCCCTCTCCAACACCTCCCACCACACACCACCACTATCCAATGCACACCACCAGGCGGGCAGCAGTGCGTCTAGCGGAGCACGTGCGATTCCCCCTCATGGCAGGCGACGACCCCGATGACGTGGTGCTGTGCTCTGGTCTACTCATCATCAAGCATCAATGCTCTTGTTCCCTCTCCACCACTCCCCACCGCACACCACCACACTCCACCAGGCGGGCAGCAGTGCGTCTAGCAGAGCACGTGCGGTTCCCCCTCATGACAGGGGACGACCTTGAGGACGTGGTGCTCAAGGCGCCTGAAGTGGACAGCCCGGAATGCCAAGCGCTGGTGAGTTATTAATTTGGTGGGGGAGGGGGCTTGTAGGGCGCGACAGGAGGGTTGTGGGTGCTTGGGGGGGTTACCATGCTGCTCTCAAGGGTGTGGTGCTCAAGGCACCTCAAGTGGACAGCCCCGAGTGCCAGGCGCTGGTGAGATTTTATATAGGCTGGCGGGCGCTGGTGAGAGGTGCTGGGGAGGGTGGGTGGGCTTTCAGGGTGTGTCAGGAGGGGGGGTTGCAGCAGGGTGAAGGGGTGGGGAAGGGGTTGGTGCTGGCCTCGAGGGTGTGGTGCCCAAGGCGCCCGAGGTGGACTGCCTCGAGTGCCAGGCGCTGGGGGGAGTTGGGCGTTGGGGGGAGTTGGGCGCTGGGGAGAGTTGGGCGCTGGGGGAAGTTGGGCGGGAGAGCGATTAGGCAGGTCAGGTTTACAAGGAGTCAAGGTGTTGGGTTGCCGGGCTTGATGGTGTGCTGTATGGTGAAGTCAACGCCTTGCTCCCTCCCCATCTTTCTCTTTACCGTCCCCCCTCTTCCGTTCATATCTCTTATTTCCTGCCAGGTGAGGGAGGCAGCATGGTTCCGAGCATACAGCTTGGTGCGTCGGCTGCGCCTCATGAACGAGACGGCCGCCACGCACAGGCGCTTCTGGCAGCGCCGCTGGAACCGCAACTCCGTGGGCCACGTGTACTTCGATATTCACCTGGAGAGGTTTCAGGTGGGTGCTCTGTTGGTGTCAATCAGGTAGGCTGTGTTCAGGGTTTTGCGCCACTTCTGAGGCGCCTAGAGGATGTGGTTTTGCGCCACTTCTGAGGCGGCTAGAGGATGTGGTTTTGCGCCACTTCTGAGGCGCCTAGAGGATGTGGTTTTGCGCCACTTCTGAGGCGCCTAGAGGATGTGGTTTTGCGCCACTTCTGAGGCGCCTAGAGGATGTGGTTTTGCGCCACTTCTGAGGCGCCTAGAGGATGTGGTTTTGCGCCACTTCTGAGGCGCCTAGAGGATGTGGTTTTGCGCCACTTCTGAGGCGCCTAGAGGATGTGGTTTTGCGCCACTTCTGAGGCGCCTAGAGGATGTGTTTTTGCGCCACTTCTGAGGCGCCTAGAGGATGTGGTTTTGCGCCACTTCTGAGGCGCCTAGAGGATGTGTTTTTGCGCCACTTCGCTCGCCTTCGTCCGTGCAGTGACAGCCGCTGCAAGAAGGAGTTTGGATCATATGGGATAGCTAAACTGAAGGAATCACATTTTTCTGACTATTTTTTCCTCCTCTCCCCTTCCCTCCCCTAACCTCCGCTCCGTTCCCCTCCCTTCCACTTCCCTCCCCTCCACCCCCTCCCCTCCCTTCCACTTCCCTCCCCTCCACCCCCTCCCCTCCTCTCCCCTCCCCTCCCCTCCTCTCCCCTCCGCTCCCCTCCCCTTTCCTTCCCTCCCCTCCATTCCCCTCCCCTCCTCTCCCCTCCCCTCCTCTCCCCTCCCCTCCTCTCCCCTCCCCTCCTCTCCCCTCCCCTCCTCTCCCCTCCCCTCCCATCCCCACCGCTCCCCTCCACTCTCTTCATCCCTCTCTTAACTCCAGGCGCTGGCAGTGGCAGCGACGGTGGAGTCTGCCACGTTTGGGATCGGTGGGAAGCGGTTCTACCTGTCAGCGCGGCACGGGAGGCGGGACGATGGCACGGAAACGCTTGACATCCACCTTCACCTTGAGAACAGCCACAGCGTGCAGCCGGAGATCCAGGTATGGTTGATTTGAGGCCAACCTCAGACCCGGGTGTGATTCACTCCAACCTCATACCACTGCAGGGAGGGGGGTGATGGTGCAGGGAGGGGGATGATGGTGCAGGCACTCTACTCCAGGGTAGCATCTGAAATGGGGGTCTTTGGACATTCACCTGCACCTTTGCATTCACCTGCACCTTTGCATTCACCTGCACCTTTGCATTCACCTGCACCTTTGCATTCACCTGCACCTTTGCATTCACCTGCACCTTTGCATTCACCTGCACCTTTGCATTCACCTGCACCTCTGTCGCTTTCTCCCCGTCCCCTTGCCCTTCCACCTTCCCTCCCCCCTCCTGCTCCCCTTCCTTTCTGCCTTCCTTCCATTCCACCTTCCATTCCCCCTTCCCTACGCCCTTCCCCTCCCTCTCTTCCCTCCCCCTCACCTCACCTCTTCGCTCTTCCCCCTCGTGATCTGAGCTCCATCGTATGCCAAGAGGTGGTGTATAGGCCTACCTTTGTGACCGCGTGACCAAGGGGTTTGGGCGCAATGCGAGCAATTTAAAATGGTTTTTTTTCACCTCCTTCCCTGCTTTCTTCTCTCCCCCACTTTCCTCCAACCCCCTTCCATCTCCGTCCCCTCCACCCCTCCCCTCCCATCCCCCCCGTCCTCCCTCCTCATCCCTTTCCCCCTTCTTCTTTCAGGTGAGCTTCATATTCTACGCCAAGCGGTGGCCCGAGGGCCAGTTCGACTACCTGCGGGACCGCGTCACCAAGGGGTTTGGGCGCAACGCGAGCAACTGGGGGTACAGCAACATCCTGGGGCGGCCGTGGGCGGATGTGGTGCAGGATGAGAGCAAGTACTTCAAGAACGGCGTCATGTCCGTCTTTGCTGAGGTGCAGATCCTGGAGGACGCAGGCCGCGGGCCCGTTGTAGGGGGGTGAGGTTGGGGGCGAGAGCGGGGGTACAGCGAGCAACCGGGGGGTGGGGGGGGGCCTAGAAGCTAAGCGCTGCCTTGTGTTGTATTTGCTGGGGTGCAAAACAAAGTGTGAATGAAGGTATCCTAGCACATGCAGTTAGTGGGGTTTGAAGTCTGTACTTTGTTTCCAAGACTCGCCTTTTTTTTCCTTGCCCGCACTGAATCATTAGCATTAAGATACAAGTGAGACACAACAATACATCAAAAGATTCGGTGGCTTTAGGTAAAACTGCTGTTACATCATCCCTGGCCCTGTGCTCGTTGACCGGTACTCAGGTGTGTACTCCAACAGGGATGGAGAACTTCATGTCATAAGCGTTACAAAAGAAAACGTCCGCGCTAAAATACATGCTGGTTCCGGCAGCAGAGGACGGCACTTTGACGCTGCAAGGACATAGAGCAGAGCCGGTGACATCAGCAAATCATATTTTGACCGGAAAAAAAAAAACAAACAAACAAACAAACAAACAGAATGTGTAAATGCCAGAGAATATTTTACGTACCGGATTGCCTGGCCCAAGAAAGTGAATTTTGCCAGCACCTTTCCACCTACGTCGGGATCACAGTCGAGAAAGGCATCCTTTGAAGGATATAGATAAAGGCGCTTGGTGCCGACAAATCCGGCGTTCCAAAACACTGTTTGGAGTACCCAAAAAAAATGGTCAGAAATAAGTGAGGGTGAGAGAAAGTGCAACAGAGAGAGAAAGTGCAACAGAGAGAGAGAGTGAGAGAGAGAGAGAGAGAGTGAGAGAGTGAGAGAGAGAGTGAGAGAGTGAGAGAGAGAGTGAGAGAGAGTGAGAGAGTGAGAGAGAGAGAGAGAGAGGGAGAGGGAGAGGGAGAGGGAGAGGGAGAGGGAGAGGGAGAGGGAGAGGGAGAGGGAGAGGGAGAGGGAGAGGGAGAGGGAGAGAGAGAAAGACGTACCAATGATATCAGATGGCTGCACCTTCTTTGGCACAACTTGTCGAGTAAAAAAGGCAAAAGGGACAAGATAAACCATTCCCTGCATGCAAAAGCAAACGGATGGGGATTATTTGCGCAAGGCACCCTAACAAAACAAGGACTGGAGTCTAGATTCAAGGCGGGTTTAAGGCACTCCTGTAGTCAAAACCGGTCATGTGAGTTACTGAGGCTCCTAAGACAGACTCAGAGCAACAAGAGCAGCAGTGGGGGTCTGGGCGTCGTAAAGAAATAGCAGTGCTCACGCACCTTGGGAGTGGTCCTGGTGGGCTTGCTGCTATTAATCCCTCTGGCGATGGCGCCAGTGGTGGTGGCGCTGTCAGCGTAACCAGTGCTGCTGCCAGTGTTGGCGGTGTTGCTGCCAGTGGTGGCGTTGCGGGCAACGGTGGAGCGGGAACTGGGTACGAGGCGTACCGCCTCCAAACCTGCGCATACAGCACGAGCGACCTGTCAGAAACGAGATGCGGAGAGCGTGGCGGCCCAGAGGGCAATCGAGTCTGCGAGTTTGCCTCGGACCGAGTGTTACATCCCCTGACCCGGTGGGGACACAGGCGCGCATAATGCACTTTCTAGCTGGGTCACACATGTGGGACAGGTAAAACCCTTAAAAGCTCTTCCAGCACCCGTCCCAAGAAGAAATAATTATTAATAGAAAATATAGAAAATAAAAGAACTCGTGAAGGACAACTTGTTGGGGGATCATGCATGATAAAGAGTCCTAACGTCTCAAAAAAGTTGGGGGGCGCAACTCACCCCACTTGCATCCTACGAGGCGATGGGCGATGGGCGAACCAGGAAGGGAAATGTGTGCGAGGGAGAGGCGGACTTACAGCATACAAGAACGAGAATCACGGAAGCCAAGCAGAGAGCAGGAAGCCGCGCCATTTTTGTCCTACTACTTCATCACAAAGTTCCTGGCTTTTTCGAAATGTGTGCGCAGGGGTTCGGGTCCAAATTGCAGGCACAAACACCCACAACTCCCCGACTGAAATTTCAGGCTATGAAAATCGCCCGCGCTTCGCCTGTGAAATTTCGCGGGAGCAAATCAGGTGGTTTTCAGCGCGAATTCTGGCTGTTCATTCGTTCAGACCGCGACTCGAACTGAAAAATGTCAATTTCGCGCCTCGAATCTCAATTTTGTTGCATTGTGTGCTTTCGATATCTGATTCGACACTGTATAAAACTGGTTTTGGGCTCGGGTGTATTTTTTGTCATGTCAACAAACATGTTAATACCAGAGGTACTTACACATTATATAATGTACTTATAATAATGCTCCAAATAATCTAAGGTTTCAAGACTGGGATTCTAGTACTATATTTAAAGAAATGCGTGCAAGTTTATGCCTATGCGACACAAAATGTTGTCTCAACGTCTCTTTCTTTTTAGCGATGTATCTTTTAAAATTGTATACAATCACTATATTGCAAGCGTGCTGGACAAATTTGGTGCCACTTGCACCACCTGGTAGCAAGGTGTGTTGTTTCAAACTATCGAGCTCGGAATACTGTGTGCACGGATAGGCATCAATGACACGCGTTGCCGCCTCGACGCCTTGTTGTTTCTTTTTGGCAGATATTCTTCTGAAAAAATACACATTTACTATCTTGCAAACATGCTGGTACAAATTTGGTTCCATTCGCAGCACGTGGTAGGAATATATGGTGTTTCAAACAATTGAGCAGGGAAACCTGTGCGAGGATAGGACTGTGCGCGACGTGGTGCTGTATCGACGTCCGTTTGTCATTTGTAATAAGGTTTCTCTTGATCATTCAAGTATCTACTATGTTGCAAGCATGCTGGACGGATTTGGTACCATTCGCAGCACGTGGTAGGAATATATTGTGTTTCAAACAATTGAGCAGGGAAAACTGTGCGACGATAGGCCTGTGCGCGACGTGGTGTTGTATCGACGTCCGTTTGTCATTTGAAACAAGGTTTCTCAGTACTGCCGTGTGGGCCGGGGGGGGGGCCCAAGCGTGAACGCGGCAGGGGAGTGTCAACGGGAGTTGTGTTTGGCCCCGTCCTCGCTTGGGCGGAGCCGACCGTGGGAGCCACGAAATCGCAGTGGCCCGTGGCAGCCACGAAATCGCAGTGGCCCGTGGCAGCCACGAAATCGCAGTGGCCCGTGGGAGCCACGAAATCGCAGTGGCCCGTGGGAGCCATGAAATCGCAGTGGCCCGTGGGAGCCACGAAATCGCAGTGGAGGTCCGCGGTGGCCGAGAAACCGCGGGAGGACCGCGAAATACCCGGTCAACCAGGATACCCGGGCGACGTGCGCGAAAGTCGCCGGGGATGTTGTCTGCGAGGACGACCTCGGGGGTGGTATCCCGAGGTCGACGTGGCTGGTGGGCGCCGTCACGGGTGAAGTGTCTGCGCTGGGCAAGTGACGGGGAGTTGGGCGCCAACCAGCTGCACGCACCTGCGAAGCTGGTGCACCGTTGTCCCGCGGATGCGACTCTGTGCAGCCGACATACTGCAGCGTTGGCGCACCGCGGACTTGCAACGTTGGCAGGCCGCGACTCTGCTCTGCTGGAGCGCGGTCGACCAAGTCGTGCTGGCACGCGGTCGACCGTGCTGCGCTGGCAGTGGACCAGCAGCCTTGCTAGGTCTGATGTAGTCATTGTTGCCAATGTTGCTAAAATCATTCTGAACTTTTGTTGTGACTTTTTCCTAGTGAAACTCTTGCCGATTTTCCCCGTGAACTAGCAAGCAGTGTTAGCACTTGGAAACGACTAAGGAACGAACGAACGCTACGATCACTCTTGCCCCGTGCCTAGCCCGTAGTCTAGCTCCCGTTGCACAAGTTATCTCCGCAACGTCGACCTCGTTGAGCAGGGACGCAGGTCGGTGCAGAGGACACGCCCGGAGTACGTCGCCCGACCGAGCACCTCTCCCACTGCCAAGACGAGCAGCATCCCGTCGCCGTCCTCCTGCAACTTCACGCCGTGCTCCTTTAGTTGGCCGGACGACAGCAGGTTGGCCCGCACACCCGGGACGTACAGCACGTCGAGGATGAGCACCTGCTTCCCGGCCTCCCCTTGCAGGGCGACGGTGCCGCGGCCCTGGACGTCCTGCAGCGCCCCATTGAAGCCGCGCACGTGCTTGATGGAGCCGCTCGGCTGCAGGCCGACGAAGAGTTCCTTCGTCCCCATCAGGTGGTGGGAGCAGCCGCTGTCTAGTAGGACCACCGCCGGGTTCGCCTGCACAGCTGCCGCCACCGCCTGGAAGTCCTCCTCGGCCTCTGGCGCCAGTGAGACGGTCGGCTCCACGACGCCGACCAGCGAGCACGACGCCGTCTTATCGTCCCGCCCCTTGCCGCCAGCAGAGGAGTCGGCGTCCTTCGCCGAGGTCGACGTCGTTGACTGCTTCTCCTTGCGCGGCTTGTTTCCTCCTCGACGAGGACGACGACTGCCAGACCTCCCGCGGCCTCCCTTGGCGTCGTCGTCGTCGGAGTCACTATGGTCGGGGCACTCGAAGGAGAGGTGGTCGGGGTCGCCGCACAGCCAGCACTCCCGACGTCGACCTCCTCCTCCTCGACCGCTGTCCTTGGTCGACTTCCTCTTGTCGACTTCCTTGGTCGGCTTCCAGCCACTGCTACCACCGCCGCCGGACGGTCCACGCTGCCCCGGTCGACCTCCTTGCTTCGCCGGGGCGACAAAGTTCTCCTGCGCCAAGAGCTCCTGGGACCGCTCTGCCTCCTGCATCGCCTCGTCCTGCAGGATGTACGAGGTCAAGTTGTCCTCGTTGAGCGTCGTCCTTGTGCTCGGCGCCATCGACAGCCGCTTCAGGAGGTTGTAGCTGCTCGAGAGTCCCTGCATGACGTGGGTGACGTACGACGCCGTCGAGTACTGCGCGCTGGCCATCCTTATGGTGGCGAGAATTCGCCGGGCTCGGTTGCAGTAGTCGGTCGCCGTCTCCTCGTCGCCCATACGCAGGTGCGTCAGCTGTCCCTCCAGCTGGGCGATGAACAAGTCGTCGGTGACTTGGTAGGTCGACTCAATGAAGTGCCACGCCCGGTGGCCGGCGTCGAGGTACTCTCGGCACCACTTCAGGGCGATCTGCACGCCTGGCGAGCAGCACCGCGAGATGACCGTGAAGGTCAACAGCTGCACGGTGCGAAACTCCGCTCGTAAGTCGGCGTTGTGCTCCTCCGGCGTCGCCACGGTCCCTCGGGCGAAGCCAATCAGCCCGGCCATCTCCAGCTGGGGCTCGATAGCTTCCTTCCAGGTGAGAATGTCTGGTCGACCAACGAGCGGCGGGGTGACCAAGATCCTGTCCAGCGTAAACTTGAAGTAGCCGTAGCTCGGTGCAATCCCGCCCGCCGTCACCTGGGTCGCCGACATCGGCGACAATCCGCTTCGTCGACCTCCGACGTCGCTCTGCGAGGAGCCTGCAGCCGCCGACGACTGCACCCCTCGCGCCTGAACGCCGCCGACTTCATCGGCGTGAATCACACCTCTCTGCCTCGACGTGCCTCCCGCACTGCTGCCGACTTGGCCACCTCCGGCGTTGACGCCCACGTCGACGCCGCCTTCGTTGGTCACCGGTCGAGGAGAAGCTGGTCGAGAAGGGGGATGCTCCGTCGCCCACACGGAGCGGAGTCCAGCCTCGACGACTGCCCAGGGTATCGTCCCGTACTCCTGAGCCTCATGGCGTCTCCTCGCATCCTCCAGCCGTCCCTCCAGGGTGTCCATCACCTTGGTGTCACCTACGCGCACGTTAGTGACTGTACGGCTGCCGGCCTACGAACAACTTAGGTAAGTGACCTCTACGTCGACCTGACTGAAAGGTAAGTCGTGTGCCGTCCACGCTCACCGCACCATGCGGAGATAACTACTACAACGGAAGCTAGACTACCGGCTAGGCACGGGTGCTCGTGTGATCTCTGCGTTCGTTGGTCCTTAGTCGTTTTCCTAGTGCACACACTGCTTGCTAGTTCACGGGGCAAATTGGCAAGAGTTTCACTAGAGAAAGTTGACAACAATGGTACAATGAAGTTGGCATGGCTAGACTACATCAGAGCTAGCATTCAGGTGGCCAGGTCGACTGCCAGCACAGCATGGTCGACCGCGTTCCAGCACGACTTGGTCGACCGCGCTCCAGCAGTGCAAAGCCGACGGCGTGCCAACGTTGCAGGTTGACGGCGTGCCAGCGTTGCTCCCACAGAACAGCATCGCACCAGCTTCGCAGGTGCTCGCAGATGATTGGCGTGCGGAGCCTTGTCACCTGCACAGCGCACACACCAAGTCAACCTGGCGTTGACGACTGCATCTGATCAGCCACGTCGACCTCGGGATACCACCACCGAGGTCGGACTCGCCAACTTCGCCTGGGCGACCGTCGCACTCCTCCGCAGAACCTCGTCACCCAGGTAACCTGGTCGACCGGGCAACCACGTCGACCAGATGCTCCTGTATGTGCC